CCAGCGACAAGAAAGACAAGGATGCTGGGTTATAGTCCCCCTTAAGTGGATAGAATACGGGGTATATGGGGATCTCATTATAATATACCCAAAGCCATTTTCTATCTACTTAAGGGCGATTGTAGCCTTTGGTGATGACTTTAGGGTTTAGGGTTGTGGGCTCGCCTAATAGTAACTCCCCCACCCATGCTCCTAAACATAGATATTCATCTTCAGATATGGGGTTGCTCTATTGGCGGGGTCATTCTTAGTGGGGTGTGTGTATCAGAGGGAGTTTTTTTGGAAGTTGAGTGTCCCGTTGAGGGAGTTGCGTTGAAAACATCAATTTGTTCATTTTACCCTGGTGATCTGAATACAGGCTATAGAAGTGTATGTACACTCTCAGCATATGTCACAGATTCTTCTCCTCCAGCTTTTACCTTCAACGACCCCAAACCCTAAACCCTACCTAAACTCTAAGCCCTAAACCCCAAGCCCTGAGCCTTAAACCCTTAACCCTAAAACCTATTTAACCCCCACACCCCGCTTGAGGCTATAACCCCTTCACCTGACCCTAAATGGTGGTTTATATAGGGAATAGCACCAAAATGGCCTTTAATTGGGATTCAAGTTATACTGAATTACCCCTTTTCAAGGGATTCCTAAGTCCACCCAAAGGGCTCCACGGGGCCCAAGCCGAGGACGTGGAGGCCGTGAAGAGCTCTGGGCTGGGGCTGCTGAAGTCATCTTGCCCGGTTTCTTTTTAAAAGGCTTCTATAGAGTTTTATAGGTTTTTATAAGGTTTTTATAGGGAGTTATAAGGTTTTATAGGGTGTTATAAGGTCTTCACAGGTTTTATACAAGGTTTTATAGGGTTTTCATAGGTGTTATAGGGTTCAGGGTTTTGGCCCGGATTCCTTTAAGGGTTTTTTTTAGGGTATATGTAGGGGTTTAAAGAGTTCAGGGTTTTGGGGGGATTTAGGGTTGAGGGTTTGTGGGGGCTAGCAGGGTTTTGGGGGCTTTAGGGTCTAGGGTTTGGGGGTGCTTTGGGTTTGGGGTTTTGGGGGGGGTCAATGGGGTTTAGGAGGTTCTTGGGCTTGAAGGTATGTTAGGGTTTCAGCGTTTGAAAACTTTAGGGGTTTGGGGGCTTAGGGTTTGTGGTTAAAAAGGGTTTATGGCGAGGGTTTCAGGGTTTAGGGTTTGTAGGGTTTCCATTTCAGGTCACCTTGTCTAGGTCCAGGTTCGGGATGCTAGGCGCTTTAAAGGTTCTCTGTAGGGGCAACCTCTTAGGGGGGGGCGGAGGGGGGGGAGGGGGAGGGGAAGAGGGGGGTGAAAAAAGGAAACATGTTTGTTGCCGCGAACTTCGGAAATAGGTCTGCAAGGGGGAATAGAGGGGGTTTTTAGAGGGCTCCGAACACCCTGAGGCTGGACAGCCTCGGCAAATACACCCCCAGAACTGTATTTGGGGACTGTAAGTTTTCTTTAGGTGGGGAAAGCAGGCAATGTCCTCCCTATACTCTCATTGAGCTTATTTTACCCTAAACCCTTATCTGCAAACATCCCCCCCGAACCCCAGCTTCCATTCTTTTTTGCAGTTGATTGATCCGTTTGACTCTACATCCGACTCCTAGGTGACAGGGTTTTAGAGGGATTATAGAGGTATATAAGGTTACCAGGGGTTTGGGGTATTTTTCTTGTGAGTGGTAGGGAACGAAGCAACTGAAGAAAAATGGAACCAGGGTTTTAGTAAAGGGTATAGTTGCACATCTAGTGGAAGTGAAGAGAGAGGGGAAGCTTCCATTCCTAACATCTGGGATTTATGGTTCAGGGTGGTCAGTGGGGAATTGTAATTAGTCAGCACTACGTTTGAGATCCGTCTCTCATTCTCTATTACATCAGTCTCTCGACCCCGGCCCCGCATCAAGGGATGCACCAGGTGGCCTCAGAGTATCCTCTCCCCCTTATATTAAAAGCCCACTAGAATATTCCACTTGTGGTATGCCATAGTAATCGGAACATTTAACGTTGCGGATGAGGGGGTTCTTATATTCGAGAAGGAGATTTGTACGAGCAGCCCAGGTCAGTCCACTCTTACAGCAAGAAGGCCAAGGCGGAGTTGTAAAGCGGCTGAGTCTGGGCAATTGGCCCATTGTGTTATAGCTTTTGCAGCTCGGGGGCGTGAGGTTGCAGAATTCCGGGTTGAGGGTTTAGATGGGGTTACTTAGGGGTAATGGAAAAGAAGATGGAAACTACTTTATAGGGTTGAGTGTTTAGGATTAGGCGTCTAGGGTTTAGGGTTTAGGGTTTAGGATCTTGGTGTTAACACTAGGGGACTTTTGAAGGCTGTCTGCAATTTCAACCGAGTGAAGCGGTAGAACATTTATGTCTTCTAGGGTTGAGGGTTGAGGGTTTCGGCCCGTGAGAAAGGTTACACAATTTTTGGAGGCTGACGTTTCCATCGCACCCGAGGCCACAAGTAGTCTCTATCAAAGCATGGAGAGGCTGCTTTTGATCCCTGTTTTAGGGTTTAGGGTCTTTCAGCTCGAATGTTGATACAACATATTCCCTAACCTCTAAACCCTCAACGGGACGGTAGGGACCTCAATAGACGTTAATGTATCATGCTGAGGCCTACTTGAGGTACCCTGGGCCCCACACCCTAACGCTGAATTCTAATACTAAATCCTGAACTTTGTCCCAAACCTCCAACCACACCCGAAGATAGGGTTCCCCCCATAAACCCATTTGAGAGCAGCCCTTCTCCATTGCGGACCTATCGGCAGCAATGCCGTGCATGCGAGCCAGAATAAAAAGCTGAAGTGTGCTTTTCGGGAGATATGTTCTTTATATGGGTATTTAAGAAAAACCAGACATAACACTTGTTATTGCTATGTCCAATGTCGGCCCAGAAAAAAAGGCGCTCTTGTTCCCCTGAAAAGGGGAACAGGGATTCCTACGGGTCAGGGGCAAGGCGATAATTTTTTGGGTGATCACCCAAGGAGCTTTCTGGTCAAGGAAACTTTTCTGAGCCTAAGAAGGGTCTCCCTAGAGTGACCTGGGGATTTTAGAAGCCGTCCATTACAAAGACAGATGTGGTTATGGGGAAGGGGCAATTAAATGGGGAACCTCCTCTGGAAAAGGAAGTTGAGCTAGTTCACGTCGTGTTTGGGTTAGCAGTTCGCGAGCCCTTTTCTCAAGCAGCACAAGTCACTCTTCAAGTAGCCTGAAGTTGTTCCTCGTAGTCCCAAAACGGCGCTAGTTATGAAGAAGAAGCCTTTGTCTCTACCCCTACCCTAGATAGTCTTCTTCAATCAGTCATCGGAGATTTTGGGAAGGACCGTTATCAATCGAAGGCTTGCGCGATGTGTCTCTTATAGCAGCCCTTCACTGTCTTTGTCCCTTCTTCCAGATTGCTGACAAGGAGCTTAAACGAAGTTACCAAAACTATTTCCTGTATACCCATCTTATGGTAGCTTAAATTCCTTAACAGCAACCCAGTCTTACTTCGTGTAGACAATCCTCTTTGAGGTTGCCTAAGTCCGCCAAACCAACTTTGTGGCCATTCTAAACACGATTTTAGGTTCTAAGGTTACCTCATAGTGTATAGTAGGGAACAACGGAATACTCCCTGTATCATCTACTCCTAAGTTTAAGTTCCATGTTGAGCATTCCTTGCTCCTGGGGTAGCTGCAGTTGCCCAGAGACATGTGACAGGACCAATCAGGTTGAACGGGCAAACGCGTGGCCGAGGGTTTGCAGGGATCTTTCCGATAGGGCCGAAACATGTCGTTGTTATTTCATAGGCGCACTATAATGTACTGTCCACAGAAGCCTGAATAACTACCAAGGGTATCCCCTACCAACCCTCATACACCGTAAGTATAGCATACTGTGCCCAAAAGCCTAGCCTAATCATCTAGGCATGTACATATAGAGACCACCAACATCGGACCCGGATTTTGTTAAACAGTTCTAATAGCTCTGTTTTCCCTGAGGGTCCCCGAAGCATTCTCAGGTGATATCCTACTGTGAGGCAAAGGGGGACTAGACCCAAGCCCTCCTTCGAAGTGAAGAGTAGTAAGTTGGACCGCCCGGAGTGGTTTCGTTAACATAGCTGAGTAGTAATTTATACCATTGGGGTACTACAGTCCCCCAGGCACTTATACCCTAGACCCTAAACCCAATGTAGAATCAGATTATATCTTCCATTGAGATAAAGTGGTTTTCTACGATTTGCTCCAGGACCCTTAAGACATGAACAATTGTAATTCTTCTATTACCCTTATAGGGAAGAAGGTTTTCCATTTTTTTGGTGGTTCTTAAGCAAATAGTAGTTCTTGAGAAGGATATCTCCTTATTGGGCTCAACCTGGGTTTCCCTTGGTTACTGCCCCGCTCAGCAACTGCTTGGAGATTAACTACATGTATATACATATACCATCACCTGATTGATATGTGTAGATTGATAGACAGACATCTATATATGGATAGCTGTGTATATCCCCTATATCCCTTAATACTCACCCTGTTACTGGCTGTTCCTGGAGGGGGAGTACCTAATCTCAACCCCTCAGCTCTAACCCACCCACACCCTCCCCCCCCCCCAAAAAAAAAAGAAACACAACAAACTAAATATATATATATATAATTAGCCAGAGAACACCTGCAACATATCCTTCTCCTAAGTCCTAAACCCTAAACATTGAGTCCATCCCGCCCCCGCTAACAGTTAAATAAGGCCCCTGCTTCTTCATTTGTATTACAAAATGAGCACAAGAAAATAAGCCCAGCTGGGCTTGTTTTCTCGTGCTCATTTTTGTGCTTTGGATTGTCATCCCTGTGGTCACTTACCACAATCCGAAGCACAAAAATAAGCACAAGAAAACAAGCTCAGTTGGGCTCATTTTCTCGTGCTTATTCTTGTGCTTCGGATTGTGGTCACTGTTAGTGTAAAAAGGATTTACACAACCTAAACATTACTTCTTAAGCCCCTACCTTTATCCTCACATGCCTCTAGCGCAGGAGCTCGCTCAGCGATTTGATTTCCCACACTTCAAGCGAGTGGCTCTCGTTGTGGTGGGCGAACCCCCGGAGGCCTCCGTGTTCAGGGCTTCAGTGCCGTTCAAAGAAATGATAGAGTGACATGTAGGGATCTATGGGGGTATGTAGGATTTACGATTTCTTTAGGAATCTGGAAACCTTAAACGCAAAAACCCTAGGGGACGAAGGAGGGTTTGGTGCTATTTGATGGTTCTGGTGGGTCTGAAGAGCGCCATAGCATTTCAAGTTGTCCAGGGTTTCAGGGAAGTAGAACCGTAAGAAGTACATAGGCTTCAGGCGCAAGATCATGTGCTAGAGGCCGCAATTTCAGGAATCTGTACGGCTTTCTCTCTATTGAATTACAGAGCACAGGCTGGAGTCACCCTAAACCCTAATTCCTAAATGCTAGAGACACATGAGGCCTGGGTTTTCGGACGTTCTGGTTACATTGGTCACTAAAGTCTATAGATATACTGATATACTTGGGCTTTCTTGGGGCAGGGTCTCCAATCAATACTGAGATCAGTGTATGGTCCGGTATTGTTGCGTGGTGCTTGGGGGGTCAGGGGGACTCAGTAAGTAGGTTAATAGCCCCTATAACCCATACAGTAGCCCTCATTATCCCCATTATTAAGCTACTTACTCAATCTCCCTGACCCTCCAAGTGGGCCACCTGAAACTTTGGGTTGCAAGTTCTGGTTGTAATTGGAATCTGTCCTGCATCAGGACAAAGACCTGCATGATCGTGATGGTAATTTGCTTGCCCTAAACATACACCATGATGCGGAGGATAGCTTCATGTTAGCCGCCGTCCCTACTCTAAAAGATGTTCTGGCGAATCCGGGCCTGAAACTGACACCTCAAGTCTCCGACGAAAAGCAAGTGATGGCGCTTCTGTCTTTGGCAATCCCTAGGGATCCAAGTATACAAATGATACGAAACATTGGATCCCTGGGGAATGGCGGAAAGCAAGAATGTAACCAAAATGTCGTGCAACAGTGGGGAGCCCTGAAACGCAGTCATCGTACAATGGGTTTCTGCCTTAGCCGGTGTATATAACCCCCCTTAAGTAGATAGAATATGGGGTATATGGGGATCTTATTATCATATACCCAGAGCCATATTCTGTCTACTTCAGCGGGTGCATAATTCTATGTGGGCATTTGGGCTTTCAGGGGAAAACATGGAGGAAAGGATTTGTCTTCGGAACGCAGAACTCAATCTCTTCGCTGAACCCTAGGCCCTAGACCGCGTGGTACTCTTGGTCATTTATGAAGACTAACTTTGGTCTTGGCTAGACTGGGACCCAACAACGAGCATAAAGCTACAACTTTTGAGTACAACCCCAACATGGAGCCAGTACCAGGAAGACATTGGGACCCACTGGCGAACATTAATTTACAACTTTAAATAGATCCTAAACCGTAGCCCAACAGGGAGCCAGCATTAGGTACATGGATAAGTGTCTTTCGCCTGAGGCCTTCAAGTCGAAAGTTCACGCAGTCATCCTTGCGGAGAAGCAGGAGACAGAGCGGCAATTTGCGGGGGATAACCTCCTTACAGACGGTCATGTAGGGCAGTACCATAGGAGTTATTGTGGAGCAAAGTTAGACTATACCTCATATAGGGTTTAGATTTAGATTACGGGCGTTGGCTTTAGGGCTACGGGTTCTGGTTTGTGTCTGTGCACGAGCGTCATAGGGACACTCTGATTGCCGCACCGCTAACTAGAAGGCAGTCCTATCAAGAGGGAAGTACTTGTCACATAGCCCTAAACCCTAAACCCCTATAGTGTTTCCTGGTTGCTCAAGACAGAAAGCCGAAATCCTGACTCCTAAACCTCTCTTCGATGTCCAAAGGCCTTCAACTCTAAAATTACCATACTGGGTATATAGGGTTTAGGGTGTAGGGTTCAGGGTTTAGGGTGTAAGTTACCGCAATGGGTATATATATATGTATACATACACACACATAGTACTTAACATTTGTGATCAGCCAGTGCTGAACTCTAAGCCCTAACCTAAGCCCCAGATCCTGCATTGCTCAACTGGCCCAAGGCTTTAAAGTAAAGGCAGTCCAGACATCAGCTTTTAGCCGCTCGGGTCCATTCAGTCCTTCACGAAGAACATACTGTGAGCCACAATTTAAGCTTCTTAAAGGGGGTTATATCAGGATTAATTATATTGTGGACTACCGTGTATAGGGGTCATTCAGGGGGATACTAGGAGTTTAGACTATGGCTCATGTAGGCATGATTGCCAATATCATAGTCCTAAGTTACTTAGCCTCTGCAGAAGCGGAGACCCCCACACACAGGTACAAGCAAGGGACACCGGCTGTTATATAACAATGGAAGCCCGAAACCCTGCTCTTTTGATGTCATATGACTGCTGTAGAGACCTTGTTTAGGGTTTCAGGTTGCGACGGTCACCTCCACTGATACCCAAAACCTTCCACCTCCTTAATATCGAATATGTCCAGATGTGTTATAGTTAAGATTGTACCACTATTATCGACTGGCGACCTGAACCCTAAGCCCTATACACACTGCTTTGCCGCAGTCTCTTAGAAAAGGCGGGTAAGGGGTCCTCAAAGCAAAGGGCCCCTGAACCCTAAGCCCTAAGGGGTGTACAGGTTTTACAGGATTTAGGGCTAAGGTTGCCCAAGCCCGGGACCCTGAGCCCCAAACCCGTACCGTGGGAGCTTGAGAAAACTGCGCCGATAGTATGCTTCCCACGGCACCGCCGGTGTGAGAAACATAACTATGGAGGCTTCCAAGACGTAGGGGGTCCCTTTATTTAAGTTAAGGCCTCATGGCTTCCCCAAAATTAGGGGTGCCTTTCTAGGTACTCCGGTTTACACCCCGTTCCCCTTGTCATTTTGCAGCCTTCTGAAGCTGAACATTATAATTGGTTACTGGGGAACCTAGCCTCTTCGGCATCCTTTTAAGGAAGGACTCCAGTCTATTTGGGCCTCATTTGTTTGGAAATCCCGGTATAAATTATGAACATACCCACGAAGAAAAAAGTGTTGTTTTAGAGATTTCCCGAAGACTCCTAGTGCTTGATTATTAGGGAATGTGGGAATAAATCAAAGTTATGGATTATTAAGTAGAATCCTGGGCGGGGGTTGTTGTTGGGATCCAATCCTTCATTCTGCACTAGGTCACTAGGTTTAGGGTTTAGGGTTTGGGCTGAGGGGGCCGCCATGCAGAAGAGGGACGAACAGTGTTTGGGAAGGCTCGTTGAGTTTTCACGTCAGGAGAAGATGGATGCTGAATGGAAAGCTCGTTCCGCAGAGAGGGACAGCCACGGGACGGGTCAGGTTGGGGCTTCACGGTTTAGGAGTTTGGGGTTTAGGGATCAGGGTTTAGGATTAAGGGTTTTATTGTTTTAGGGGTTACGGTTACCGATTGGGAGTTTGGGCTGCAGGGTTTGGGGGTTAGGGGTCTAGGGGCTTGAGCAGCACTGTCAAGTAAGTCCCACATTCTATGCGGATCTCTGCCTCAGTGATACATGCAGGTGCTGAGGGGATGGGGGGGGATGTCCCTGCTAGTGACAGCTAGCGCATAGGTCAACTTGAAGACCCTCCCATGTAGCTCCATGTGTTCTGCTGGAGCCCAGCGAAACATTCTCAAGCGCCAGTATGGCCGCGTCAGCCACAGGGGGGGAATGGGGTGCAATCCGCAAATTGTTGCCCTGAGCCCTATAGCCTAAACCGTATACCAACCCTAAACCCTCAACCATATGTCCCTTACTTAAGGGGTTAAGCCCTGATCCCTACAAATTTAACCCTAACCCCTTAACCCTACAGTCCCCCTGAAGTAGATAGAATATGGGGTATTGGGGGATCCTATTATAACATACCCAAAGCCGTATTCTCTTTACTTCACGGGGACTCTAACCCTAACCCCTAAAACCCAAACTTAAACCCCTACGCAAGTAGGAGCGGCAGAAGCAGATCGAGTCTCTGCGGGAAAAGCAGCGAGCTCTTGAGGCCACTGTCCACACTGTTTAGGGTTTAAGGTGCGGGGTTCAGGGTTTAAGGTTTAGGGTTTAGGGTTCGAGGTTTAGTGTTTAAGTTTTAGGGTTTAGGGTTCAAGGTTTAGGGTGTAAGTTTCAGGGTTTAGGGTTCAAGGTTTAGGGTACTTGGAGGTCCGTTGTACTCATAACCTACTTAGTAGCTGTAGTTATAACCTAATCATAAGTCCCATATCTACAGTTACCCTTGATATATAGTTGGGTTATAACAACAGTCACAAAGCAGGTTGTAAATACAACCGGCCTCCAAGTAGAGAAGCAGGGGTGGGGCCTTATAACTCATAAGTGTTTCATGGGATGTGGGAGGATTCTGCATGATCTTTGCGGTTGGATTTGGAGCTTGCTGTTCAAGACTGCTGCGTAGTTCGTGGTCCATAGACGAGGTAGGGATAAGCTCGTAGGAAAAGCCCAAAGTCAGTCTTTTGCAACTACTGTGACGTAATATGGTTACACATAGACCACAAACCTCACATACCACCATATGTAGTCGCTGCTTCCTTTGTCATCTTCCATTTGATCGTCCACTGTTGAGTAACGACTTCTTAAATGTCTGTATCAGCTTTACACCAACAACTCTATAGCACGCTCGAGAGGCAGAGTTTTTCTGGGTTCTTCAGTAAGCGCGTTGTATCCTTTTTCGGGTTCTAAGCTACTTATGAGATTGGGCCAGTTAGCCTATACAGCAAAAGGAGGTTGTCTAAGTGCTACTTAGTTGAGCACTCTCCTCAAATTGTTGTCGCCATGTGGTCTGCTGTGCTTTGATTTCGGCACCTAGGTTTCATGCTGAAGTTTGAATGTAGGGCCCTTCCTCAAAAAGACACGGAACTCCAAGTGGAGCCTTACCAAAGACAACTGTCCCTATGAAAGCGGCCCATGTGGAGATCAGGGTTAGGGTTTGGGTTTAGGGGAGGGTCGGGTGTTGATGATGAACCACCCTCCTTCGCAGAGGCCCCTACGCCCGTAACCCCAACACGACCCCAAGGCCCTGACCCGAAACACTTACACCACCTAAACCTCTTATCCCCTGCTCTGTAACCTCCCACCCAAAATCCCAAACACCTGGGCCAATGCCAGGAAGCACAGCGAAAGTCAGTTGAAGCTGCCAAGGCAAGCAGTTTCCTTGGGGTCGGGGATCATCAGCTGAAAGTTACATTTCCTGGAGTTGCCCTGGGATGGATAGCGTAGGTAAATCTTCCAATTGTGCTGAGAACTTGCGTCACAGCTCTTAATGCTAACCCTGAAAATTTCAATACCTTGCAACCAACTGCACGTCTTACATTCGTTCTGCAGGCCGGTCTGTATTTGGGGATACTATGGTACCCAATATTACCCCAATAATGGAGAGTCAAATGGAAAAGAACATGGAAAATGAAATGGAAACAGGGACTATGTATCATAGAAAAATAGGTTTCAGTGTTGAGCCCGGAGCGGTAGCTCTCGAATCTTCATCCCTAGTTAGGTGGCATTGTGGGATAGTTCGCTATCTCCCCTATTCCTTTTTGTTGTATAAGGAACCTGTTCATGCATAGTTTGGGGGCCTTTAAAGAACCACCAAGTTGACCATGAGTCTGTTTGAAGCTCCTTAAGGGTAATCAGCCATTGCAGCAGCTAAGAGTCGTCCCCGTGAATAACGGGTCAAGGTTTGGGGTCTTTTTCCTACTACCTTTTGCTGGTCTGTGTGTCGCCTGCCGGTCTTCGATACCACGTGCCGCCTACGCGTGACTTGATGGGGGGAAGAAGCATAGTGCATGTAGCAACTGTTTTCTGGGATGATTGTCGAATTCCACTACTTCAGCCTCCCTGGAGCGCAAGTGAGGTGGTTTTTAGCCTGGTATCTTGCACAGGGCCAGGCTGCAAGCTCCCCTTGCAAACTTTAGCGCCTGTAGGGCGACATGCCCTTCCCCCTGGAACCCTAGGCGGGCATCTTGGGAAACACTAGTGTTGTATGTAACAGATGGTATCAGAGATGATATGAGACTACGGGAGATTACCCTACTTATCCTCAATCTCGCGTAAGTATCGTGAGAGGTGGCTGTAAGGCGCCTCAAGCCTGTTACAATCCTCATATGCTCACATGAAAGCCTCCTGCAGTAGTTCCCCATGCAGGTAGTTATCCCTACCGCGAACCTTACATGGAGCCGCATATAGCCCGCTCTGTGAAGGGCGGTAGTCTACGTGAGCCAGCTCGGTGGCTCCATTCTGCTCAGTGAAAACCCTCAACCTGATGCACCCCATGTTGCACATGTCCTATCGATCCCTATCTTAGTAGTGGCCGTAGTAGTGGCTAGTTCGTAGGGAATAACCGAACATATTATATGGGGTATAGGGATTGCATCGGGAGTATAGTCCCTTTTTCCTTACTAACCACCGCTAAGCTATGCCTCGCAAAGGTTGGCCTAAACCCTAAACCACGCGGGCTGTTCTCAAAACTATGGACCCCTTTTGGTTACAGGTTATTTTACGGCACCTAATATTTAGGGGTACCAAAATGAGACCTTAATTTTGAGAATTAGCCGCATGTGCTTTAAGGGTGTAACTTTCTCAGGCAGAGGGCCAGACAGAAGGCGGCGAGAAGTCAGAGGCGGCTTGTGCTGACAGCTTAGGATTTTTGTGGGCAATGTGGGGTAACATTGGGGTTATCTAGGAATAATAGAAAAGAAAATGGAAACCACTATTTAAGGTTTAGGGTTTGTAGACTCCTGATTAATAACCTCCCTCCTTTTCAGGGCCTCGATAGTAGGGTCTGTATTATGATGCCTATTTAGGGGAGGGGCTTTATTAATCACGGGTCTGCATTATGTATTATGTGGCCCCTAATTATTGGACTGGGACGTCATTCTGCCTTTAATGAGAGTTGCATTGAGTGCCTTGTTGCCGTGTCTAAGCTGGCTTGGCACTAGTTAAGGTGTAGGGGTTCAAAATTCGGAGTTCAGGGTCTAGGGTTGAATTTGCATTTACGGCTTGGTAAGCATTCCACGGTCTTTTGATTTGTATAAGGGCCGGGTCAGGGATGTAACGTTTGAGGTTTAGAGACATAGAGCTCAGACTTGAGGAAGTAGGGCAGGGCTTTCGGATTAGCAGTCTACTCGCCCTTGAATAGTGGTATAATGGGACTATAAGAGGATCTTAATATAATTACCATTATCCCTTATACTCACTATTACTGGGTGGGGGGTCCACCTCAAGTCTACTGCCCTGGAATATACTCTCCGTACTACCCGTCCATTTTGCTTCGGCTGCCACTCACTGAGCCTTGAATACGATCCTACATCCAAAAGCTCCAACCTCTCCGGTCCAAAACCTAAGGGATTAGGGTGTAGGTTTAGGGATGCTGCACTTCATATGCTAGGCGAGGAAAAAGCCCTGAAGCTCAGGTCCTCAGTAGTGAGCAACCCAGTCTTTAATACAATATGGAAAATCAAACGGAAAGGAAAATCAACATGAAATGGAATTGGAGAAGGATATCAAACAATCGATGGAAAGTGGGATATTACAGCGCTGTATAGGGTTTAGGGCCGAGGATTGACGACTGTAGCAACACGGTCTTGCGTTGAGGGTTTAGGTTTACAAGTTGCTGATCTATCTGATTCTCCACTCCACACCCACTAAACACTAAATAGTACATATTATTATCATAAGCCTTTCTACCCCAATGCGTCCCCTCCACTCAAACCCTAAACCCTAACCAACCAAATGCACCTTGAAGCTCCGAAGGTTAAGGATGAGGAGATGAAGGAGGAGGGCGCGGAGGTTAAGGAAGAGGCGAAGGCCAGTTCCGGTCTTTGTTTTACAGAACAGCTGTTTGAGACCAACTAATGGGAATAGGGTTTGGGGTATAACCTATCTCTAAGGATTATCAGGAATAGCATTTAATCAGTTTTTGTGTGTGCAGTATGTTCGGGGGAGGGCACCCAACTCAAATTCTGACCCTTTCGAATCTCAGCGGGGTTGGGATTCGAGATTTGGGGTGTAGGGTCGGGACTGCGGAGCCTGACCCTGCGCCCTCAACCCTTCGACCGAGATTGCATCATGGTATAAACCAAAATCCCGAAACCCTAAGCCCTAATCCCTGAAACCTAAACTAAACCTTACGGCTACAGGATGAGAATACCTTCAGCTTAAACGGGGTGAGGGTCAAGGAGCCTTGAGAAACAGAAGCGATGGAGCACCAATGGAAAATAACATGGATGATGGCGGAGAATCTGGGATTATGCAGTGGTTCATAGGATCACAATCGAATCTCCGCAAACACTGATCGCTAAACAGTGTGTTCATCCAACGATGCGCTTCTACCCCAAACCTGAACCCTAAAATCCCACAGCCCTGAAACCTTAGACCTTAACATACCTTAACCCTATGATGGGGGTAACATAAGGGGCGGGACTTTGGGTCTGGTGTCAATTCACAGGCTTTCGTGCTATGGGGTTTGGGGCTTAGGGTTTGGGGTTGAGGGTTTCAGGTTTAGGGTTTGGGCTGCAGGGTTTTTGGGGTTTAGGGTTTCAGGTTTAGGGCTTAAGATTTGATGAGGGCTTAGGGCTGAGGGTTGGCGGCCTGATGCCGGGTCTTTCTAAGGTCAGCGTAATTTACCTGTCTTCTTGTTGCCTGGCCCAGCCTAGAACACTGCCCCAATACCGTGATTGTCTGGATGTTATGCCCTTGATCAGGATCTCTTCTCTAGCTGTCAAACAATGCGGGCAGTATGTTTGCCATTTCGTGCCCTTTCGACTACGCTCTTATAAATAAGTTTAAGCCTAAACCCGAAATGGCGTGCAGGGCTTAGAAGTGTTTTTCCACTCTGCCCTGAGGAAGAAGCAGATGCCCAGATGAAGGAGGAGCCTTTGGTCGATTGCAGTTTCAGGGTTCAGAGTTTTGGCCTTACAAAATAAGGGTTTCGGGGTGAGGGTTTAGGGTCTAGAGATTATGATAATTACCAGACCCCCCATTGCTACCCCTCCACTAAGTCTAGGGAGTAGTTGACAAGGACCCTGTAGGGCGTAAGGAAGTCTACCAGGCTTCTAAATCTGGGGTCCCTAATCCCCGAAAACCCTCGACCAGATACATCCCTCCATCTCCCTACGGAGCTGTAGTATAAGCCTAAACAATTGCCAGTATTGTGGTCCTAGATGCCTTTTATACGTATGGCATTTCGCATCTCAAATAGAACTCAAGCTGATATTGCTACTTATATTAGGCAGCTACACTACGTGTAATTTTTTACCTTTGACCCCTATGCAATCCCCAAAAGCCATAAACAACACATCGATGTAGTGCCCTACACTAGATATATCTATCCCTCACAGGCCAAATGTTCCCACCCCTAATCCCTAAACTCTGAAAGCCTCAACTCTAAACCCTGAAACCCTGAACCCTTAAACCCTTAAACCCTAAACCCCAAGAGATCCTCTAGACCCTATAGACCCTAAACCCTGCAAGGAGCCTAAGGATGAAGAGGCCCCACCAGTTGCTGAGTTGGACGAGGAGGCGCCTGGGGTAGAGTTAGGGTTTTAGGATTTTGGGATTTTAGGGTTTAGGGTTTAGCGCTTTAGGGTTCAGGGTTTTAGGGTTTAGGGTTAGGGGCTCGTTGATAAGGGTTTTGCAGGCGTAACTTCTGGTTTCCATAAATGGTGGGACACCGGTATAGACCCTGACATGCATGAATCCTTATTATAGGGAGCCCCCAAAACGTAGCTCTAATTTTGGGAACCGCGGGATCTATAAGGATATGTATGCATAGATGTGTGTACAGTCAGCAAAGTGGCGTTGCTTCCCCCTCGCAACTTCCCCCAAACCTGCACTTCACTATGCCACGCCAAAGCGCGGCAGCTCAATGCCCACCCTAAAGTTGAAAAGCCCTAAATCTCAAGGCCTAAGCCCCCAATTATCCCTGTAGGTCCCCTACACAACCCTGTATATCCCCCTTTGAAGGCATAATCCCTACACTTCCCCTTCATCATCTGATAACAGTCCTTTCAAGGGAGCATCGCCCGGGAACCCTCCATCGTAAGCTCCTAAAACACAAACCAAACCCCAAAGTCCTAAACCCTAAAAACCCCAAAACCTTAAATCCTAAAACCCTAAACCCTAAATCTCAAACCCAGGAATCACGACTCTGGTTTTTGCCACGCACTTGCAGTGACATGGTCTCGGTGGCCTTCAACAGCCACTTGGGGCCTTTTGGAAAGGGTCTAGGGATTCGGGTTCAGGGTTTAGTTGGGGCCTTTTGTCGGGTTTTGTAGGGGTTGTAAAAGGACATTTAGGGTTTGGGCGGTTCAGGGTTTCCAAAAAAAGGGCCCCTTTCCGGGTGCCCTCATGATAAGGACTGTCGTATTTGGGGGTCTGCAAGGCGGTCCCCAGCACTAATTCGCCCTCCACAATAATGACCCCCCCCCCTCCCACCCAGTAATAAAATATTTTCTCCTTATAGTAGAATGCGTGCTTCCCAGTGGGGGCATCGATCATTCCATCGTGCTGTGTTTTGGGCATCGTGATGGTAAGGGAGCTTCCTAACAGCATCAAGAGTCTGGATCATAGGTTCTCCTTTGTGGCGCCCTCAGTAATCTGAAGAATCCGTTTGTTGCGATCTTGACGTGGTTTACTGTGATCTTCACCCATGTGTTCTGGCGTGGATCCTGACAAAGGATATTTCCTTTCACGTTCTGGGCCTGAGATTCTGCAGCTGCAGCACTTCTATGACTGCAAAGGGGTTCCCAGACACACGTCCATCAGTACGAAGTACTGTTGTTCATGCAGCAGCTTGAGCAATTCCCATACCGGTTCCCTTACAACTGCTCATAACCGTTATACAGTTCCAGCACCATAAACCCGCAGACCTTATTCTGCGTACATAGGTCCCTACTGTACATTACCCACACCCCTTTGCTTCTGCTACGCTCAGTCACTCAGCTAGGTACTTTCGCAGACTTCACTTTGCCAGACGAGTCGGAGAACTTCTCCGAGCACCTTAGACGAAGATCTTAGCATTGCCTACGGGGTGCTAAAAACTAAAGTGTGTAGTTGTTGGATATGATGTTTAGTTTTGGTAACGCCCAAAGCCCTATCCTTTTCCTGCTAGCAACTAAGGAACCAAATAACGGTGAGTAGGGGAGTGGATATGCGTATCGGCGATCTTACCGGGAATATTGGAGAGATCCTTCATAGCTTGTAGCGCTTGAGTTTCACGGCAAGCTGAGCAGCAGGGAAGTTGATGGACGTGACCGGACCGGGCCCAGGGATCAGCGACCCCTATATAACCCCTAGAATCCCTGTAGTTTCCATTTCATTTTCCGTTATCCCAATATAACCCCAGTATAACCCCAATATATCCCCAATATTGATTTGGCAGCCAAACAGCATCTGTTGAAGTTGTAGGAGGTTGCCCTCAGTGATGCAAAGGTTGGTCTTTCGCAGATATGCAGCTTGTCCCTCACGAGCCCCGGAATCCTGGGAAACTGGATATATTGGGGTAATATTGGGATAATGGAAAATCAAATGGAAACTACTATAGTATATTGGGGGTTTATAGGGATAATGGAAAAGAAAATGGAAGCTACCATAGTATAATGGGATGTGAGTAGAGAGAACTCCTCAGCCTCCCTGACGGAGCGTGCTTGGCAAAATCGGGGTCCTTGCTTTAGACACTGTAGGGTTTTGGGATACTAGGTGCTGGGAAAATATGGTAATTTCCCAAAATACAAGGGCCCCCATATAGACCCAAACAGACTATAGTCCTTATTATGGGGACCCCAAAATGGTACCCCTAAGTTTGGGAAACCCCCATATTGAACCAGATTCCGGCTCAAGATGAACTCTAAACCCTAAAGGGGGCTTATATAGGGGATTATATTGGGGACTACTACAGGGGTTATTAAGGGGGATACTTGGAGTTTAGACTATAGCTCATATAACCCATTATGGTAGTTCCCATTTTCTTTTCCATTATTCCCATATAGCCCCATTTTAACCACTAATATTACCTAAGCCCTATCCCTTTAATATCCATCCCCATATAATCCCTGCAATATAACCCTAATATTCTCCTGAATCAGGGCCCGCGTGAAAGCCCGATTGACGGCCCAACAGCAAAGCTCGAGATGAGCTTAGCATTTGAGCCATTGTCCAAACTTCCAGTATCCCCCTTAATACCTGGACCCCTAAAGTGTGTAGAATTATGCCCTTTCTGGCTGTTTTTGCTGTTTTAGGTCCATTCTTTTACCTACTTTTGGGATTGTAGTAGCCCCCTATAGAATCCCCTATATAACCCCCTTTGAGGAGATTAGACTATGGCTCATATGCCGTGTTGAGCCGAAAGCTCAAACCTGAGCCTCTAAGGATCCGATACGAGTGGGCTGGAGAAGTTGCAAGCAAAGACTACATGAAGCCCGGCGCCTACAGGGCTCTCCTTTGGGCTTGGGGACTAGTCCCGGATCAGATGGAAAAGAAAACGGATACTGCAACTAGCTGGAAGCTGGTGCCTTATAGTGATCTAAAGAGTGTATCTTTCTGAGGTGTGTAGGTAGAAGCATGGATTCAACACCAGCATTATCCATCTATAGTCCTGTCCTAAAATGAAGGTATAAGGGACCCCCAAACCCTTTTCTAAGTGTTTTAGGCCCCTACATTATAATGTGGAAGAGGTTCTGAGGTAATTGAGGGTGAGGGTCCCTTGTAGGGCCTTAGAACTCGTGATTTCCAACGAAGACGCGGTTTAGGGTTTAGGGTCCAAACTCTAGACCCGCTCTTTGGTATTTGAGACGACACTCCCTGAGAGGGATTCCCGCATTTCCTTTCGTCATCCTCATGTACCAACAGCGTCCGTACGGGCCCCCCATTCTGAGAAACCAGCAGAGAGCTGGCACAGCCTGGATGGACACGCCAACTTAACATGTGTCCCCTCAACCCTAAACCCTAAACTCTCTGGAGCCTTTGAATGAAGCCGCCCACCCCCTCAGGGGCATCCCCTTCCCTTTCACAGATGTTATGGCCTTGTTACTGGGGCGGGGTGTACTTAAGGGTGCGGCAGTTCTTTTCAGAGGATTAGGAAATACCGACCTGTCCAAAATCTCTGCGTAACATTGCGCAACCCCACATACCATGGACGATTGTCCTGGTTGTAGGCCCAGAAAAACATGCACACCAAATTTTTGAACGCCTATATACTCTAAACCCTATGACCATATCCGTTTCCATTTTCTCCTTCATGCGATTCTCCATCATGGGGGTACTACGGTACTACCCCTATCCCCCAGAATGAGCAAAGCCTGTTCGTTACTGTATGATGATTTTTGGTGCGCGCTGTACACGATTTCTACGGAATATTGATGCCTGTATATACTGGGTGTCCAATTTGGGATCATATTTTAAGGTTCTGCCATCTATAACCCACAGGTCAGGTATCATCTATTGTCTTTATCTTTGATTCTGCTTAATTGATGCTGAGCTTGCCTATGATATTCGTACCCCTAGAGCCTAAACCCTAACCCTAAACCCATCTAAACCAGAAGGAACAATGGATCACTTCAGGTCCTGGATGCAGGCCAAGAAGATCACCACTCGCGTGGAGGACTGGGTGCCCTGTTCGGGCTTCTTCGGGCTTATATACCCTGAGGGTCCAAGGACCCAAATAATAGGGGTTTAGGGCCCAAGCACTATAACATTTATGGTATTTGGGCCCTGAAACCCTATTATTTGGGTCCTTGGACCCTTAGGGATAGGGACAATGGACAAAAAACATGGAAACTACCAGAGTCAAGGGTTTAGGGTTGGGGGTTTACAGGGTTTGATAACGCTTGGGGTTTATATAGGCAGGGATTACACAGGAATAGCTTGGGATTACATTGGGGCATGTAGGGAATATTTTGGAGTACGTAAAGACAACGCTTTGTGATGTTTATGCGTTCGCACCCCAAACCCTACACCCTCCAAAGCCTCAACCTTATAAACCCTCAACCCCAAACCCTAAACCCTCTAAACCATAAACCCTAAACCCCTAAACCCTATAAATCCCTAACCCTAAACTAAACCCTCAATCCTATAAACCCTAAACTGCGCCAGGGTTTTAGGGGTTTAGGGTTTTAGGGTTTGAGGGGTTTAGGGTTTTAGGACTTAGGGCCTTCTTTACGGGAGCCCGGCTAATTAGGCCATAATATTCCTGTTGTGGGGCCTGAATGTTTTTTTGGGTTTAGGGTTGAGGTTTAGGGGGGCCCACATCCCTTTGGCTCAAGGGCACAACCCCTGTAGAAGTGGAGGGAAAAAAGAATGGATTGCATTGGGTGATGTAGGACATATGCTGCGGTTAAACAGAACTTGCACGGGGATTGTGCAAGATGTGCATGGAGATGGCGTAGCAATCGAGCCTTTTTTTAGCTTCGAAAAGGCGTTTCCTACCTGTGAAGGACATACAATGTTACAACCCTCCTCAGGCCCCAGGCAGAGTTTTTTGCCCAAACTTATACCCAAAGCCAAACTCTATACCCAAAGCCCACAGGCTTTACACCTAAAGCCTGAGCCCTGAACTTAAGAAAGACAGCCAGTTCCTGGTTGCAGGACCTCTTCCCGGACGAGAGCTTCACAAACAGAGCCGCTGACTTAGTGCGCGGCGGATTCACGGCTTAGGGTTGAGGGTTGAGGGTGAAGAATTTGAGGCTTAGTGTTTAAGGCGCTTCAGCACTTTACAAGTTAGGGTTCAGGTTTTAGGACTCTGAACTGATCGTGCACGTGTTTTAAAATTTTTAAAGCCCCAACAATTATGAAACAACCTAGAAGTCCCAAAGGTTGCAGGAGCAAGCAAAGGTCCCAAACAATTAAATGATTTAAATGCTCCAAAAAGCAGCTGCAAGTCCTCTAAACCAGCTCGAGACAAACCTCTCGCCGCAAAGGCCTCCCCCCTAAAAAGATAGGTCCTAAGCAAGATATATGTGAGAGCCATAAACCGTCCGGAAAAAAACAAAAAAAAACAAAACACAACTCAAAGGTCCTGGACTGGCAGCGAGCGCAGGGCGAGTGGCAGTTCAGGCAGAAGGAGACTGCGTCATCGTTCTCCCTTTGTGGCATTCGAGAGGGATGATGATAGAGGGATCTGAGTGATCTAATGACGATATAGTGGTACTGTAGGGGTTATACCAAGATTCCTAGGGTTTGTTGGATGTGTAGTGACAGGGTGATGACGAGTCTCAATCTTAATTATACTGACATCCATTCAGGGCTATCAAGCAGCAGAGGGGGTTCAATTTTGGGATTCCGCTAGGGATCACGGTGCAGGGTTCTGGGCAGTTTTCTTGGGGCAGCTTCAGTATTGAGTTGCTGGGGGAGATACACCGGAATACAAGCAGGTTTGTTTGGGCATGCATTTGGCTTGGGGTTGTGTGCTCTACCGGCTACCCATTGCAATGCAGCAACAGGGACGCTCCTTTTTTGAAGTCGTTTTGCGGACAATTGAGAAGCCTGGCACAGCCCGAGTTTAGCATGCTTAGATTTAATCCGTGTGCCATGTCACGTCAGGGCTTAGCTTTTAGGGTTTTAGGAGTTTTAGGTGTAGGGTAGAAGGGTGTAGGGTCAGTCTTGAAGCCATCATGCATATAGATTCCTCTACGGTTTAGGATTTTGGGCTAAGGGCTACTCCTTCAGACCTCAAAGAGCCCGTAAGGCCTGACGCTACCGTAGTTGTTTGAGAAACCCACGTAATCTGCACCAGGAGTTCAAAGCCGACCCAGTGAAGCAGCAGGCGGCAAACACTCGCATGGAGAAGGACGGGACTACGATTCTCAAAAAGTCAGCGCTTGTCCCCACAACCCTAAGCGCTATAAACCCTAAACCCCAAATCTTAAACCCTAAACCTTGAACCCCAAACCCTACGCCCTAACCCTAAACCCTAAGCCGTACGTCCGATTACCAGCTGTAGGCTAGCCGGCGCAGTCCCGGAGTCTAGGGATCCCTTGCTTCAAGCCCCCCAATAATGGGCAACATGGGTTTAGGGTTTAGGTTAAATCTTGCAAACCTTCATATGGGCAGTTCACAAAACTAAGGTCCCCTTTTGGTACCCCCAAATATCAGGTGCCGTAATATAACCAATGACCAAAAGGGGCCCATAATTTTGAGAACAACCCATATAGGGTTTAGGGTTTAAGGTTCAGAGCTTAGGGTGAGTAGTACCGAGAAGTTCAGTTCATCTGTATATGTGCCGGCACCGCCCCCAGTCCGATGCTTCAGGGTTGTGACGGTGGGCCGTCCTTGTGGGTTCTAAAAACGAGGATTATCATATGTTGGGATCTCCTTTGAGTTCCCCGGTTTCCAGAAACTGCCATACATCTTGAGGACCCCATATTTGGCAGCGAATCCTGAACATCTTCCTTTTCGATTGGGGTATGCTGCGGAAGCAATGGTGTTATTTCTCAATGACCCTCGGAAGAATTTCGAAACTTTCAGCTAGAGTCGGCCAGTGAGTGCGGAGTGGCTGGGTAGATCCCTACCTAAACCATAAACACATAATCACAACTCCTACAGAATCCCTGTAATAGTCTCAACATGACTCCTTGCGATTAGGCTCCCAGTGCCAAACCCAAGCCAAGAAACCTACACTAAACACAATCTCATACTAACCAAAGAGACAAGTAACTAACAAGTGAATCACCCTAACCTCCTAAACCCAAAGCCCTAAACTATGAAGTAATGGATCCAGGAGGGTTGCCCAGTATCCAAGCTACCTGCCCCCAGGAGAAGAAGTACCTGCACAGGTTGGAGAATCCCACGCCGCAGGCGCGGCGAGAGTTAAACACCTGGCATGTTTCAGAGAATTTTGGGTTGAGAGACTAGGAGGTGTATAAGGATTATGTAAGGAAAGCTGCCCACCTGCACATTCCTCGGAATGGGGACTTTTACGCAAGGGGTCTATTGCCTTGAAAGGGGTTGGCAGGGCGTATGTCATGCTGAGGGTATACGTACTGGTAGTTAGAAGGGAGGAAGAAGGATATACAGACAATCGGGGGTTGTCTGTGGATGTTCTCATTAGTTTGCCGTATCTAGATTTTTCTTGGGAATTATTTTTTAGTATTTATTGTAGTCTAGCCCTAAGGAATTGTTAAACATATTTATGAGAGGCCCAAGGAGACTGCATGTACATCTCCTTAGTTTGCAGGATTTGTCCAATAGCTTCTTCCAGTGTCTCAGCTGCGCCAAGGGGCTGTTGAACATGCTGCAAGCCTGCTTACTACTGATACTACTGGGTTTGCGCTAAACCCTGAACCGCGTTTCTATAAGATTTATAGTCTAAACTCATTAAGGGGGTTCTATAGGTTTATATAAGGAACTTTTCTAGGGGCTATGAATGGGAATACTAGGAGTTTGGACTATAGCTCACATAACCATTCCCCATATAACCCCCAGAAAGTAGAATATCCCCATCTAATAAAATCCTCATCCTACTATACTAGCTTCCATTTTCTTTTCCACTATCCCTAAATTCTCCTATATTATAAGCCCAATATAGAAAAGGCTAGGATCGCGCTAGGTTTTTTGTTTTTTAGAGCTTATGGTTTAGGCTCATGGGTTTTCTATGTCCATGTTTTGCTTCTATCCAATATGTCCACCAAATCTATATGGGAGATTTACAAAATGGTCCTGACAAAATCTGGTGGGGGAGCCGCCCACTGCATCCCTGAACCCTAAACCGTTCCTCATAAGTCTCAGTCACCCCTAGGGTCCCTGAGGGTTCCTCTTTGGTCCAATGCTGCTCCCGTTTGTCACTACGGATATAACTGATGTGCCCAAGACCCAGCGTAGGAGGAGCCGGCAGAAGGCGAGGAGAAAGCAAAGGAGGAAAAGCCCGGGGTTTGGGCAAGTGGGTTTAGGGTTTGGGCTTGGGTTTGGGCTGCAGGGTTTACTTAGATTTAAGAATTTTGGGATGAGGTTTGGGGTTTTCGGTTGAAATAAGGTGCGGAAGCTATCCTTGCTTGTTTGCTGGGATGATATGTAAGGTAAAGTTTATGTTTGTTTCTGTTGGTTTGGGTGCTCAGAATTTATCTTGAATTAAAGATCTTTCAACGCGATCATATGCATTCTGCTACATAGCCTTTGCCCAGGGTGAGTAAGGGTGGCGCACCTCACTACATGCCGTCAAGTCTTGTCGCACGCGTTTCTTGCATTTGGTTGGATGGAGTACCGTTGTTTGGCATGCGTCGAGCTCTCACGAGCAACTGTCAACAGCAGCTTACCATTGGAACCCTAAAGCCCCAAACCCTGAACCCTAAACTCCAATAATGATTTGCGACGGACATACACTTCTTTTTAAGCAGCGGGGTTGAAGCCTTAGCATCTTCTCAAAATGAGCCTCCACACCGCTGCGATCATCGCTGCATCTAAGAGGACAGCCCGCTCGAGACACTACTAATTTATTCGAAATACTGGCCTGGTGTGTTTAGCTTGGGGAATGAGTTCGTATCCAAAACCCTACGCCCCAAACCGAGTGACGGTCTGCGTTTACAGCCTAAGCTAATTCCTAAACCCTCAACCCAGACCGAAACAGTAGTGCCTGTTGTTCTGCATAGTCAAGGCTAGCCCAAAGCCTACAAGCCTCTATGATCCACGTCATTTTCCGTTGTCTACAGGAACTATAGCCTAAACTCCTTAAATAGGGGTCAGATAGGGGACTATTGTAGGGGCTAGTACGGGGGATACTACGAGTTAAGACTACAGCTCACATAGTCACAGAACAACCAGAATTTCACCGCTACATAGCCCCTATACTATCCCTAAGCTAGGTAGCTCGGACCTTTTAACCCTCACCCTGGGTTTAGGTTTGAGGGCTAACCCTAGATTATGAAGCTTACACCCCAAAACCTTAACCCTTAAACCCTTACGTAGAGCCTATATATAATTCTATACAATCCCTTTAAAGGAACCCCGCCCTAAACCCCTAAACCCCTACGATCCATTAAAGCAGATCCTACAATTTAAGTCCTTAAATGCTTCAACCCCCTACATTCCTAGAACATCCCTTAAAAGGACCCCCCGGCCCTGAACCCTTAAAATCTTCAACCCTTGGAATGGTGAGTGCCAGGAGAAAGCTGAGGGCGACGACGCCGAGATGGAGGGCTTCTTGATTTAGAGGATGCTTCAACGTTCTCAGGAATTCGTTTACTCCCACGGTACAACTCCTAAAGTGTTAATCCCAGGCCGGAACCTCAAATCCAGCCTTAAACACGAAACCCTGAACCCTTAACCAGAGCCTAATGCAAAGATCAGTAGCTCGTGGGTTGAGGGTTTCCTGGTTTAGGGTGTAGGCATTTAGGATAATGTAAGGTCCTCAGGAATCGGATACGGGTATCAGTGCTGATGGGGCTGTAGGGTTTACAGAGGGTAGGCCTTATACTATGGGGTTAATGAAGTTTATGGTTTATCGGGCTTGAAGAGCGTGTATGGGTCAGGTTGTGCAGGGCCCAATTGAGTTAACAAGATAACCCTGCATATAGAGATTATAATA